CTTAAATTTTATCAAAAATATGCATTAAGAATATAAACCAACATTTATTTTTAAAGAAAATTTAAGTTATAAAACAACATTTAGTATGAAATAGATGGAGTAACTCGTGAACCCCAACTTGACTAGTCATTTACAAGTGTGTGAACGGATGAATCTTCTCTAGAATTCGGAAACTTTTTTTTTTTGTATTTTTATGATATATTTATTTTGTTTCATTATAGGTGTGGTTTAAGGGTTTTCTCAATAAAAATGTTAAATTTTCATTTGAATCTCTTATTAATACACGATATAACTTTTTTATTGATTAATACATTAAAATAGTAACGATAAACTTAAATTTTATCAAAAATATGCATTAAGAATATAAACCAACATTTATTTTTAAAGAAAATTTAAGTTATAAAACAACATTTAGTATGAAATAGATGGAGTAACTCGTGAACCCCAACTTGACTAGTCATTTACAAGTGTGTGAACGGATGAATCTTCTCTAGAATTCGGAAACTTTTTTTTTTTGTATTTTTATGATATATTTATTTTGTTTCATTATAGGTGTGGTTTAAGGGTTTTCTCAATAAAAATGTTAAATTTTCATTTGAATCTCTTATTAATACACGATATAACTTTTTTATTGATTAATACATTAAAATAGTAACGATAAACTTAAATTTTATCAAAAATATGCATTAAGAATATAAACCAACATTTATTTTTAAAGAAAATTTAAGTTATAAAACAACATTTAGTATGAAATAGATGGAGTAACTCGTGAACCCCAACTTGACTAGTCATTTACAAGTGTGTGAACGGATGAATCTTCTCTAGAATTCGGAAACTTTTTTTTTTTGTATTTTTATGATATATTTATTTTGTTTCATTATAGGTGTGGTTTAAGGGTTTTCTCAATAAAATGTTAAATTTTCATTTGAATCTCTTATTAATACACGATATAACTTTTTTATTGATTAATACATTAAAATAGTAACGATAAACTTAAATTTTATCAAAAATATGCATTAAGAATATAAACCAACATTTATTTTTAAAGAAAATTTAAGTTATAAAACAACATTTAGTATGAAATAGATGGAGTATTTCCTTGTATGATAGAGGATTAATTCTCGAGAGAGAGATATTTCACATGATACTATCTACTCCGGATATCGTTGTTTCGTGGATGGATCATGGAAAGGGACTGATAATTTTTCAGGAACAGGGTGGTTCTGCACATCATCAAATGGAGAGACGCCAACTATGGGAGCAGCCAATATCCGAAAAAGTCTCTCACTTTTACATACCGAAGTGGAAGCTCTTATCTGGGCGATGAAGTGTATGATTGGAGCCGACAACCAAGATGTAGCTTTTTATACAGACTGTTCAGATCTGGTGAAGATGGTGTCTTCCCCAACCGAATGGCCGGCTTTTTCAGCATATTTGGAAGAAATCAAGAGCGACAAGGAGGAATTTTCAAGCTTCTCTTTATCTTTAATTTCTCGTAGTGCAAATATCAAAGCGGATAATTTGGCACGAAAAGTTCGTACCGAACCGCATCATATCGCTTATGTAAACAACATTCCTCAGGAATGGTTCTTTTGAATTTTAATTAAAAGCTGTTGACAAAAAAAAAGATAGAGGATTAATTAAAATTTACTAATTTAGAAAATTTTCTATTATATATGGGTGTTATCATTGTTAACTCTAAATACAATAAAATTTCTTCTAAGATTTATCACAAAGAAACAAACTTCAAAAGGGTGCTTTAGGTTTAGGTATAACAATCAAAGCCATCAACCAGAAAAAGATAAAGAAAACAAAGTAAAAACCTGACTCATCTTGAGATTGGACTGATTGAAAAATGGAAAATACTGTGATCAAAAGTAGTAAAAACACATTAGGAGCCTTCATTTTTTTTGGGTGGTTGCTCTGTTTCAAAGGAGGATTGTTCTTGTTGGGAAAAGTTGCAACGATTACACTAAATAATTGGTCAGTTAAATAAGGGTTGCGTCAACTTTGTGCTAAGTCTTCAACATTTATATTGATAGGGTGATTATAACACTACCATTTATTATGATATAATTTCGGAGTTGAGAAAGTCTTTTGAAAATGATCAAAAACACCACAAGAAAGACTAATTAAATGGGCAAATGATCTATTGATGCGGACATCTAAATCAAACCAAACTGGGAGTATACCAAACCAACCGGTACATGTATCAAACCGGTTGATATGGAGCATTTTGGAGGATTCTTGCCCAAATGGAGTCATAATCAAGCACAAGGCCTAGGGTTAATTATTAACCAGCAAATTAACCCTAAGAAGACTAACGATAGTTCAAGAGGAATCAAAGACCAGCGAGCCGAATCACCATGTTGTGAAAATTTGACCGTTGCACTCTTTTTCCCTTATCTAGGGTTTGTCCCAATGGGTTTACCTAGAAAGGTTTTTGTTGAGATTGAGTTCTTGATTAAATCTGCAACAAAGGAGAAAGCTTTAGTGAGAAGAAGAAGAAGAAGAAAAAGTAGAAGAAGAGAAGAAGATGTCGACAAAGATGTCAACGACAAAGAGGAAAGTCAACACAAGAAGAGACAAGTTGGGCTTGTGTTGTTTTGTAAGAATAAGTGATTGGGCTAAATGTTTTGTTAGGCCCAAATGAGTAAGTGTGTTTTGTTAGTCAAAGACTAGCTTAGTAGAGTTGTCAAGTGTAGTGGTTAAGAGTTGTTGTTGTGTAAGGTTTAGTAGTTTAACCTTGCTTGTGTAAGAGAGTCTAGAACTAGGAGTAAGGTCCAAGTGCAAGTGTGTGTATGTGTATGTAGTAAGTAGAAGTAGAAGTAAAGTAGTATAAGTATGCTTGTATCTGTGATGTAAGAAAAGTAATCTTGTGATCCAATAACAAAAATGTAGACAATTAAAGTCAAAAACGTGTTCTTGTGTTTCTCTCTAGAACAAGAACTAAAACAGAGTGTGATAAAGAGAGAGACATAAAGAATGAGAGTTCTAACCTCTAAGTGTAAAAGGAGGTTAGATGTGAGAATGTCAACAGTTTTTAACGAGGCAACATCAAGTCATCAAGGAATCATTTACCAAGCAATTTATTCAAAGATGCTACAAGTACATATAGCTGATGTACTTCCTGACAGACCGGCTGAACTACTTGTTGAACTACTCGCTGAACTACTTTCTGAAGTACTGCGCCAAATGAAGCCAAACAAGGAAATCTTCCTTATTCTACACTTGGACGCACCTCAAAGCTATATATGGAAACCAGGAGAACATCTAGGCCACACAAGACCTGTACAACACGAACTTTGGTACACCTTACCACACAAGAAACCGCGGAGTTATTACTTGCCATATATGGAGCCGAAGGAGATCAACTTGCAACAGCTCTTTCCTTCTTTGTTTGTGCGCTTGTGTGAGAATCTTGAGACCTTCCAGAAGCTTCCAAGACGTCACAACTTCCTCCCCAAGTTGACAAGATACAAGGCACATCTCACTTGCCTTACTTGGACCGATTTTACATTGAATGGCCCAACGACCATATTTTCTTTTAATGTTGCGATTTGTTTCTTTGTTTAGCTTTTAGAACGTTTGTACTCAGCCTATATAAGCTGATCATTAGTCTCATTGTAAATCACCCTTGATCATATTAAAGTAATAGAAACGTTTTCTTCTTGTCAAAGTTTAAGTCTTTGTCATTTGTTCAGTAGTTCTTTGTGAGTGAGTCACTTAGTACGTCAGAAACCTGCGGATTGAGTTTGTTGAGTGATTCAACATCCTTTATTCGTTCATTGATCGAGTGAGTCGATTATCCCACTGATTGAGCGAGTCAATCACCACATCTATCCATCGTACCACCCCTTGATTCACGAGAGAGTGTTTTAGAGCCAGCTCGTGAATTCCACCCCTCCGCGTGAAAAGCTTGGAATCTCTTGATCATCAAGTGATCATAAGTTTGGAGTGATTCCAATCTTGTATCATCTATGTGGGATGTTTGCACATAGTTGAATCGAACACTGGTCTCTAATATTAAACCCCGCTCGAGTTACATTGGCATAATACATTTAGTCTTGTTTCTTAAGATATTATTTTCTTATACCGGATTTTGGAATTTCGTCAAAGTTTATGATTAATCTTAAAAATTTTGCCTACGACCTTCTCTTTCTCTCTTGTGGAAGAATTCAAATTAGAATTGGTAGCAGAAATCAATCAACGAACTATAAACAAAGAAATAGAAAACGACAAAGGGAGAATGAGTAAATTTTTTTTTTTTTGTGGTCAAAAGAGAATGAGTAAATCTTGTTTATTTAGTTGGTGAGTGTCTTCCTCTGTCTAGATAATACGTGAAAGCTTTTGTTAAAACGAAGGGGAACAAAAATTATTAAGCAATCCTAATTTTTCATTTAGCTTTCAGTATAAAATTTCTATTAAAGATAAGTAACTCGATTGTATTAGAGTGTTATACTTGGTTTAGTTCTGGTTTAGTTTGGTTAATATCTTTGGTTTAGTTTGCTATGTATTTAAGCTTAATCATGTATCACATTTACGTTTTAATGAAGATTTTCACGATTATTGAAATGGTATCAGAGCAGATTCTCCAATCTTCATTCACTTCTTCCGCTTAATTCGAATCTCTGATTCTTTGTTTGTTTGTTTTTTTTAGATTCCTCACTCGCCTCATTTGACGTATTAAAAGTCTCAAACAGTTATTAGACGTAGTTTTTATTTTATTTTTCTCTATCAAACTGATCCATTACATTTGTCGATAAAGTTTTAATCTGATCACTTGTTGGCTTGTTTGTGTTAGCATACAATTTTGTTGATAAACATAGTTGCCCGTAGGTCATTATGACCATATCAAACATTCATCGTCTAATTGTATACCTCTACGCATCACACCTTCCATGATTAGGAGAAATGTGTTTATAAAAATTCATATAGCGATTACAGGTTGCAAATCCTAGTAAATAATTTTGGGTTTTGGTCCGGTATCTCCCGATTATAGAAAAAAACAATCTTTATTCAATAAGATGAATGAAGAAAAAATCCGTGGATACACAAAGTAATAAATTCAAGAACATAGCCTACAAAAGCAACAATACTCTTTTAAGAAAATACATTACAAATAATGGTGTTGTTAATGGTTGGGAGAAAATGAAATCAGCAATAGATGTAAAATGCAAAAGCTAATGGGAAAATTATAAGATTGAGAAAAAGAGAATAAGATGCGGTGCTTGATGCACCGCTTGCTCTTTTGCTAGCCGAAGGACCCGACCCAAATCCTCCTGGTGATTCCGCACCTATACAAATTTCAATCATTATCATTAGCAAGTATCAAACTGAAATGAACTAAACCAAACCAAAATAATCTTTTTAAAGTAAAAAAAAAAAAGTTTGATTTAACTGTGGTGAATCTTCTCTTTAACCGGAACAAACAAAAACCAAACCATTTCTAGAATCTAAATGCAAAATGAAGTGGATCGTTTACCTGACATCGAACCTGGAGCATAGGCTGGGGAGGCTCCCTCGTTGCCCATAGCTACAGGTGCTCCAACTGGAATACTAAAAACTGGTAACAAAAGAAAATTGATTAGAACTATTTTAAAAGAATTATTTTTGAGTCACTCATCATTAGTATGAACTTTGTTCGTGTAATCTGAGCTCAAAGTAGATGATTTATAAAGTTATGGTCTAAATTCGTAAGTCAGTAACTTTAACATCAAGAAAGGAAAATAAAATAAGACAAAAAGAAGAAAACATGTGATACTTTTCGGCAACCGACAAAAGTAGTTGAGTAATTAGAAAAGTTGGATGGCTCGCCCAATAAAAATAAATGAAATCACATTTTCTATTGATTATTAATTTTAACAAGATTCAAACATTAGTGACATATACAGGAATAATTTGATTCATTCAGACATTTCTCAATTTATGTAGTTTAGGTATCCGATCCACATTATTTCATTTTCTAGAATTTCACAAAGAAATTAAGTATTTATATGAATCAAAAATCACCTATCAATTAACATATACATAACATTAACATATAGTACACTGTATTTCATGCTTTTGAAAAACTCATTTATAAAGATTTGTCTATATTTTCCTTCAATTTCTATCTCGTAGACTTCAGTTTCAAAATATCTATCTCCTAATAGACTCAACTTCAGTTTCAAAATTTTGACTACTATAATTAAGTTTATATATTTGAGTTATAAACTTTATACATTTGAGTTATTTTTGGTCATGAATATTCATTAGTGTTCGTATAACTATATTTGCATGCAAGATTATTTACTTAACAACTTCCATGAATTTGAAAACCAAAACTTAGAATGAAGGTGGAGAAATATACGAGAACAAAGTGATGGATCCGGAGTGAGGACACCGCAAACTCCGGGAAGTTTGAGAGCCTTTGCCTTATCAATCTTGATTCCAAGCGTAGCCGCCATGTCACCGGAGAGAAGGTAACATAAGCATTGCGGCGAGCTCTCCACCAGCCCCGCCAACGCCGGACAACAAGTCTTGTCCGGCTTAGCCGCGCCTCCGCCTTCTCCGACCGTAACGTACGAGAGACAGCCCGTCATGTTCATTAGGTTCGCTATGCAGTCTGGTGCTCCCGACGGTCCTGACGATGGAGACATATCCATTTGTGCTGACACATGTCCTGTTAGCGAGGCTGTGATGAGAACAACGGCGATTACTACAACGTTAGACATTGTTCTTTGCGTTGGTTTGAGAGAAGAAAAGAATTGTGAAGATAAATCTTGTGAGCGGAAACAAAGCTATATTAAAGGATTTTAGTTAGTTGCCATTAATGCGTGTTAATAACTTCCACGTACCTCTCTTATTTTATTTTTTCCTGTATTTTAAAGTTTCTTATTATAAAAAAAAATAACTAATAAAAAGTTTTAAATTAAAGTACATAAAATGCTTATTAATTTGTTGCGGTATATAAAAGGAGGGGTAATATTACTAACTAGCCAAATTTGACACATAAATTAAGAAACTAGCAGAGAGAGAAATTTCTGTCGGAAAACAGCATGGACCCACCTTGTCTAAAGAGGTGAAATAACAAAACCATCCTCCGTTTGTTTTGAGATCTACAGTAGGCGACATTGTTTCGTGATATTTTTCAAAATAGCACGTAAGATCTAAATTTCACATGTTATATTTAACTAAAAGACATGCTATTTAAAAAAACGTAGTGAATTTTTAAGAAAAAACATTGTTACGTAGTGTTTTTTTTTTAAAAACATTGTTACGGAAAAATTAAACTTGAATAGAATCTTTTTATAAAGAAATAACATGTGATCTTAATAAAAACCGTGAATTACTAGAAAATAAGAATCGTTTTTTAAAGAAATCACATGTGATCATAATAAAAAACGTGTATTACTACAAAATAACATGATAGCGAAAGATATTAAACTGCATAGAGTGTTTTTTCAAAGAAATAACATGTGATCTTAATAAAAACCGTGAATTACTAGAAAATAAGAATCTTTTTTTAAAGAAATCACATGTGATCATAATAAAAAACGTGTATTACTATAAAATAACATGATAGAGAAAGATATTAAACTGAATAGAGTGTTTTTTCAAAAAATATCATGTGCTCTTTATAAATAACGTGTAATACCGAAAAATAATATGATAAAAAGAGATATATTATTCTATCACATGTAATTCGAGAAAAAAACATGTTATAAAGGGTATGTGTGTAATTACACGTGCTTTCCGACATCCAACAGACAAAGTACTGTAACTCATGGCTATTTTCTTAATTCTTTTTGAATCCATGGCTAGTTACTATAAATTCTCTAAAAGGAGCTGCGGTGGCAAAATCAAATCAATCAAAGAATAATGTGTGTTTTTTTGGTGGTTAAATAGGAAATTCTGAGTTGGAAAAATGTGTAAGATTTTTGTGATAGTACTATGAAAACCATCACAATTCACAAACTGTACCAATCTCTTAGTATAGTTAAATTTACATCAAATTAAAATAACGAACCACAAACCGTACATGCTGATGATAATATATGTGAAAATTTAAAAAGTGTTTTGCTAGAATGAAATTTTGGTTCTTGTTGTTGGGTCGGCTCAATTATTTGGTTTTTGTTTGTTTGTTAGATTTAGAAAATGGTGCTGTTGCTAAAGTAGAACAAAAAATTTAAACAAAATTACAAATAACAAGTAGAATTTACTTTAAAATAATCTCTCTGAACAAAAATATTTCTACAGTAAATGTTTTGAAAAATATTTTAACATATTTGAAATTCTGGTTTAGTTTGATTTTGGTTCGAAGTGGATTTCTTTGATATTTAGAAAGTTTAGTTTGGATTAGACCATGAATGATAGTAGTTAAATGAGTATTTGGATTTTATATTATAAAAGTTTATTTCAGTATCCAATCAAGATTTTAGTTAAAAAATTTGTTGAACATTTTCATTTTATTTGAAAGACTAAAATTTACTTAACTGATTTTTTTCATTAAATTAGAAACTAGAAGAAACACTCGTAGAAAATCTAAATATAATCTCCATCTCCATGTGTTTACCTTTCCACCAAAACAAAAAAAATCTCCGTGTGCTTACCGACCTAGTGTGTATTGAGTATTGACTATTGAGTAGACAGTTGATGCGTCGAAAAGCGTTTGAACGCATTAAAGAGAGACCACATGTTCTACGAATATGATAAGACAAATATGAAATATATTACTAGTTTACTAAATCTTTCAAAACGGCATTATATTTTTGTTCACAAACATAATTAACAGATGTGACTATATGCAAATATGAAACTTTAGGTATAGATGTAATTAATGAAGCCACCATTCTCTTACCGAATTAGATAAGCAACCACATGGCCATCTTCATAACTTCCAGCTGTTTTGGTCTTCACGTTCTTAACGTTATTTTTTGTGGTTCTCCTCTTTCTTAGTTGAAATAAAATGTCTCCTCTTTTTTAGTTTTCTTAAAAATGATGAGAAAAAAAAAGAATGAAAGCGAATTAAACCAAGTCAAAATCATTTTTGTTTCGTTTATAGTAAACTAGATAAGGTCCGCCTAAATAGGCGGACGGGTGTAAAATATAAATGTAAATTTTTATTGATATTTCTTGAATTTTGAATAACAAAATAGTAATGTACACATTTTTCTTGATATATTTTTTTTTGCTAAAATTTTTCTTGATATTTAATTTAATAATTTTTGTTTTAAACAAAATTTCAGTCTTATGCATTCTATTTTATTATACATTTTAATTCTACGCACTCAATCTTATTAATGATATTTGAATTCTAAATAGTAACCTACACACTTTTTCTATATTTAATTAAGTATTTAGAAAGAAAAAAAATCTCCATCTTACACATCAATTTTGCAATACAATTTTAATTCTTACACATCAATTTTGCAATACAATACATTAAGTGATAACAATTTCATATCAAAATAATATTTATATCATATCAAATCTATAGCTTAGTTAATATTAAAAATAATTAACCATTAACAAAACATAATTAATAAAAAAAAACCGAAATCCACAAAAAGCCGTAACTGTTCACAATTACTAGCGATGAACCCAAGAATTGTTCCGCCAAAAAATAACCTAGAGAGCACATATTCACTTCCTCACATTTTAGGAGATATCAAATGAAGGAAAAATCCACCAGTTTAGAGACGAAAGAACAAATGAATCAGTTGCTGCATTTTCACAACAACCTTAATGAAAAAGTATAGAAGTATATGCAGCAGATGAGGGACAAATTCACCAATTCGGAGGAGAACCTAAAGGCTGTGAAATAATTCCTTTACAATGATTTTGATAAAAGGCTTAAGAAAGTTGTACAAGATAGGCTCAATACTATTGGTCCAACTATAGGAAAGAAAGTGGCAACTGATATTGAGAGAGTTAGTTGCTTCTGTTGCTAAACAAGCATAAGTGGAGAAATCAATTAATCAACTAGAAGAAAACATATACTCATAGCTTAAGGAGAGCAATGAAGGCCTGAAAACTCAAATGGATAAAAATCATGAACTTCTGAGATTGGAGCTAGAGTCGTGCGAAACTATTATTCAAGAAAAGAACACATCAGACTTATCTCAGATTGCTTCTTTGCTATATGCTGCTCAAGTCTTAACCAGTGAGTTAGCTGATAGCCAGAACAATGTTCTTGCAAAGTTTATTTACAAAGAGAAAGGTGAGGAGCGCAAAAAGAAAGGCAAGAAGAAGCGTAAGTAACTAGATACATGAAATATTGGAATGTGAGATCCAAAACTTATCTTTTACAAGATTGTTGACTTCTTTTATTGTGGACTAAATGATTTTATGGCTATTAGCTGATAATATTGGTTGATTTCTCATTAGCCAAAAAAAAAAAACTTATATGAAATGTTGCATTTGTTCGTAAAATAAACTAAATGTTGCAATGATTCAACAAAAAGGTTGCAACCGTTTATGAAGAGTTACAATAAAAAAATACAACCGTAGAAGACATTTATTCGGATTGCAACTTTCTTAAAAAACACAACCGTAAAATATAGTTTTTTAGTTTTTTAAAAAATGTTATAACGATTTATAAAATAAACTAAAAATTATCATTGTACGCGAAATAAACTAAATGTTGCACTGGTTGCTACCGTTTATGGAGAGTTATGATAAAAAGATGCAACCATAGAAGACATTTATTCGGATTACAACTTTCTAAAAAAACACAATTGTAAAAAATGTTTTTTGATTAAAAAAAATTAAATGTTATATTAGTTTATAAAATAAATCAAAAATTACAATTGTTCGTGAAATAAACTAAATGTTGTAATGGTTCAACTAAACGGTTGTAATCGTTTATGAAAAATTACGATAAAAAGATGCAACTATAGAATACATTTATTCAGATTGCAACTTTCTATTGAAAAAACAACCGTAGAATTTATTTTTAGTTTTTAAAAGAAAAAATTTAACGAAAAGTTGCGATAAAAAGCCGCAATGGTTCACAATTACAAAACTTTTATTCAGGTTGTTATTATTTTATAGATTATTTTTAATTTTGTAGACAATTTTATTTTTTTCTTATAAATAGAAAAGCTTAATAAGTGCTAAGAACTTTCCTCATAAGTTTTTTTTTTTAAAATTAAGGCTTAAAAACTTTATAAAGTTTTATCAAATAGTACTATACTAGCTTTTAACCCGCGGTACCCCGTAGGACACTTTATTTTTTAAAGTTAGTATATATAAAAGTTTGCAAATGTCGGTTATTAAGTATATTTTATAGTTTACAATTGTTATTAAGTACGAGTCAATGAGATAATTGTTAATAATCTGAGGATTTGACCCGTATTAAAGCGATATGTTAATGATATTTTAAAATTTTATAAATATTGATTTAAACCCATCTGTCATATAACCTTGTTCCGCAATATAACCCGTCCCGTAATTTTTTAACATGTGCAATGATTTGTTTTCTAAACGTAGTGATTTTTAAAATTTAATAATTATTTATTGTATATAAAAGTTTGCAAATTATATCATTCTCTAAGATATTTATATTTTCTAGTTTATAATTGTTATTAAATAACATTATACCACGAGACATTTTTGGTTTTATACAATCTTTTCTAAATCAGACTGATTTGATATGTATAATATTGGTGGTGTTAAAAAAAATAAATTAAGAATTTAACCCGTATTGAAGCGGCAAATTAATAATATTTTAATTTTTTGTAAATGTATGTTGATTCAAAAACTCGTCCCGCCAAATCAGTCCCGCTAAAAAATCCATTTATTTTATTAATATTGATCTTTTTTATGATATGATTATGAATTATTGTTTATATCTTAGTCGATGTGAAACGTTAAATACATACATTTTTCGTCAATTGGGTAATATATATCTGTTTTTAAGACTTTGAATAACAATATATACAAAAAAAATTGATTTTTTGTTTTTACTTTTTATATTATATAATGATTGGAAACAGTTAAAAAATTAAACAAAAATATTAGGAGAATCAAAATTTTAAATTTAAATCAAATCTTTTAAATATTATATTGTTATATATGTAATATTCGGTGTATAAGTTAGGTTCAAATATATCTGATCCAATAAATTTTTTATGACTAAATTTTATAAACAGTTAAAATACTAATTATATTCAAATATATTTTACTGCACTCGCCAAAAAAGTTCTGCAAAAATACTATAGAAATGTTTGCTGTGATTAGTAGCCGGCTTACAAAGTTCACCTTACCACTTGCCGCCTCAAATTATGAAACTATACGTGGAAATCAAAGTCTTCTGTTTGACCAAGAGAAAGTGTCAGTTTGAATATTTAAGTCAATTTTTTTTTTTTTTTGACAGAAACTATTATATTTATTTTTGTTTTAAATTATCAATGCCACTGTCGTCTGGTATTTTCTAGGTCTAGGCAAATAAACCAAACCGAGTGTACCGAACCAAAATCAAAGTAAAAAGAATTCAATCAAACCGAACCGAAAATTTGAAAATAATCGAATGGATATTAAATTCTATAACCGAATCGATACCGAACCGAAAATACCCAAAATACAATTACATTTTCAAAAATATTGTTTATTTATAGACCAAATAATGAAAAATATTTAAAAATATATAAAAATAGTAAAAATATTCGAAAATAACCGAAAAATATCCAAAAATATCCTAAAATAACCGAAATATCAGAAAATATCCTAAAAAAATAACCGAATGGATACTAAATTTTAAAACAGAAAGAACCGAAACCGAACCAAAATTTTAAAATATCCGAATATATACTAAATTTTAGAACCGAAAGAACTGAAACCGAAAGAACTGAAATCGAATGGATACGAACCGATAACCGATTGGAGAACCGAATGCCCATGACTAGTATTTTCCTAAAATACTGCAAACCTATTGTATGTATTTATATCTTTTTCCCACAAGTAATTTCAAATTTGAAAAATTTGAACACTGAGAAAAATCAGAAATCAAAATGATTATTTCTGACATTTAAAAACCGAAAAAAAAAAAAAGACAAAACAAAAACTCAATTAAAAAATGTAGAAAAAGAAGGTACATTTCAGACCAGAGCCTGCTCCTTTATTCTTCTTCAGACCAGAACTTGTAAAAGGGTTTGAAAAAGTGAGATTACGAAACCCTAATTCTCTCTCCGATTAACCTCCGGCAACAACTATGGTGGCGCAAAACAGTCGACGGGAGCTTCTAGCAGCTTCTCTAATCCTAACCTTAGCTCTAATTCGCCTAACAGAAGCAAACTCCGAAGGCGACGCTCTTCACGCTCTTCGCCGGAGCTTATCAGATCCAGACAATGTTCTTCAGAGTTGGGATCCAACTCTTGTTAATCCTTGTACTTGGTTTCATGTTACTTGTAATCAACACAACCAAGTCACTCGACTGTAAGATCCTCTTCCTTGTACTCGTTTGATTTGATGGTTCTTGATTTCGTTTCTTGTACAAGTTGTTCAATTTCAATTGGAATCTATCACTGTAATCTGGATTTGATTGTTTGATTTAGAGAAGAGACAATAATGCTTCCTTTTTGAGAAACTCTGAAACTTCATTCACTAGTCTCTGTTGTGCCCTTAAATTAGGGTTCTTGATTTTATAAAGTAATCGAAATCAAATTTGGTTTCTTTAAGATTCGTCATGACATGACATTTGTGACAGCTACAGAATCAAATTACCACAAACAAGAAGAAAAAAAACACTTTCTTCTTAATTTTTCTCAATTATGTGACCTATTTGGATTGGAATTGCCTTGTTACTTTTCGATATAACGATTCGTTAGTATGTTCTCGATATCGATCTTGATTCTACCTTCTTTATTGGCAGGGATTTGGGGAATTCAAACTTATCTGGACATCTAGTACCTGAACTTGGGAAACTTGAACATTTACAATATCTGTATGGAATCATCACTCTTTTGCCTTTTGATTATCTGAAAACTTACTTTTCGATTACCAACCAAAAGTTCCCATTATGTGACTAATCATTAACTGTTTTATTTTGCTTTGATTCATATAGTGAACTCTACAAAAACGAGATTCAAGGAACTATACCTTCTGAGCTTGGAAATCTGAAGAGTCTGATCAGTTTGGATCTGTACAACAACAATCTCACCGGGAAAATTCCATCGTCTTTGGGAAAATTGAAGTCACTTGTCTTTCTGTAAGTTTTGGGGAAAGGATATGGAGTTTTGTATCAGTAGTTGAGTAGGTGTTACTTGCTTTTGCTTTCTCTCTGTGTTATGACATTCTAAGTAATTGCTTGACATGACACAGACGGCTTAACGAAAACCGATTGACCGGTCCAATTCCTAGAGAACTCACGGCTATCTCATGCCTCAAAGTTGTGTAAGTTCAACTACTTCCAGCAATGTATCGCTTCTGTTTGCTAATTACTGTGCCACACAAGTCTACGAGTCTTCTCGTTCAAATGATATAGATACGCTTTCTTTGTCTTTTTGTTTTGGCAGTGATGTCTCAGGCAATGATTTGTGTGGAACAATCCCAGTAGAAGGACCTTTTGAACACATTCCTATGCAAAAGTAAGTTCTGTTTTTTTTTCCTTTGTTTTATGACCAACAATTTCCCTTGACACAAGCTTGTTTTCTAACACAAAACCCATTGGTACAGCTTTGAGAACAACCTGAGACTAGAGGGACCAGAATTACTAGGTCTTGCGAGCTACGACACCAATTGCACTTAAAAAGAAGTTGAAGAACCCTAGAAGAAGAATGGGGGTGACCTTGTAAGAACTCTGTACCAAGTGTTTGTAAATCTATATAGCGCCTTGTTTCATGTTAAATATATGAAAGGTTTGAGAGACAGTAACTTGCTATGTATTGGTAGAAAAAGTTGAAATGAGAATTTGATGTAGCACCGTTTCTCTACTCTTACCATATTCTAGTTTATGCTTGCTGGTTTTTATTTCTATTGGGCTTTCGTTATGTCGTTGGGTATTTCTTTTAATTACGTTGCTTTGCCGACAAGGTTTATTAACCTAGGGTTTTTACTTTTAAGATTAGTAAAAGTATCTTTATTCATGTAATGTTGAACGGCGGTTTTTGATTAGTAAAAGAGAATTTCTTCTCAAACAAGTCTTAAGAACTCGTCTTCTTTCTCACGAGTAAGATATAATCCTAACTGGATTTGGAACTCTGTCCTATTCTCACGAGTAAAGCATGTCCTCTGTTTTCTCTATAGATACACTATGATATAGAAGAAACTTCACAGCAAATCTATGGAGGAGGAAGGCACTTTAGTACCATCCGGCGACATGTACAGGCTTTACTTTAAGGGTTTAGTAAGCGAGGAAACGTCGCAGTTATTGGCGGGATTTGGGGTTGCAATTTGCGACCAAGACGATAAGCTCTTGTTTCAGATGAAGGGGCCAATTCATGGCTCGGACATTGCGGTTTTGGAAGCTGAGCTTACGGCATTGAAACGAGGACTAACCGCAACCGTGAAGTTGGGTCTAGATCATATCTCAATCTGTTGCGATCATAATCATATTTACGAATTGGTAAGTGTTTCCTTGGCTTTTAAGTTTCTCACATGTCTTTACATAATTGACTTTTTTTTCCCTTGAATGGTATTAGGTCATGGGGAGATCACCGCCGGAGCAAGATAACATTGCCATGCTAATGAATGATGTGCAACGCATGAGAGAACAATTGACATCTAGTAATCCCATTCTGGTGACTAGAGATCAAATTAGCTTTGCTTATAAGCTTGCAATGGAAACAGTAGCTTCGGATATCAGCATACGTATGCCTGCCACTTGCAGCATCTGTTTCAATGATGATTTGGAAGCAGAGCAGATGTATTCTGTTCCCTTATGCTGTCATCAATTCTGTATCGAGTGTGTGAGACGACATATAGAAGTGAAGCTACTCGAGGGAGGTGTACCGACATGTCTTCATTATCAATGCGAGTCTAAGCTAACTCTTAGAAGTTGTGCCAATCTTTTAACACTTAAACTAAAAGCGATATGGGAACAAAGGATCGAAGAGGAATTGATTCACGTGACGGATAGAGTTTATTGTCCAAACCCGACGTGCTCCGGATTAATGTCGAAAACCGAGCTCTCTACCTCAACGGAAGAAGATGGAGGTAGTAGGAGTTGTTGTGTCAAATGCGGTGAACCCTTTTGCATCAACTGCAAAGTTCCGTGGCATAGTAACTTGTCATGCGATGATTACAAGAGATTGGGTCCAAATCCTACAAAAAATGATATAAAGCTAAAAGTTTTGGCAAATCAGCAAAAGTGGCGTCAATGTGGAAAGTGCCAACACATGATTGCACGTATCGATGGATGCAACGTAGTAATCTGCAGGTATCATCATCCTCACATTCTCTAGCTATTATAATTTTGGAATATGATTATGTTTTTTGTTTTTGGCCTAATTAAGATAGTAATTTGCTTTGGTTTGATGGATAGATGCGGATATAAGTTTTGCTATAAATGTGGAGCCGAATGGAAGGAAGGAGGTTGCACTCACCGAGTGACGCACGGGCTGATCAATTGTGGAATTTGCATTGTACTCGTTTTGATAATTGCCTCTCTACTAATCCTTATGGCTTATGGGCTTATGGCGTAATTTAATAACTAAAATTTTTGTACCATTTTGTATTACCAATTAATTAGTAAAGTTATTTTAGAATATTTACATCTAAAGCATATAAGTATGCAAATAAATAAGATGGTGAGAGGCCTAAGTGAGGTATGGCTTGATTAGGAGTTACTAATTGTAAGTTGTTAGATATGTGATGTCTGAGTTTTTTTTTTACTTTGTATTTTAAAAAGGTATGGTTTCTCAAATAATGTATTTGAAAATGTGTCATAATGTTCAAATATAAATGACTTTAGTAGCAACAGAAACCATTAAGAAAAACATAAAATCTTCTGTTCTTACGCAGGCTTTCCAAATTAAAGAATTGAATTAGAATATAAGCTATCGACTTCAAAATACATCTAATTAACAAAATAACGTTTGAAGATGTACAACCTACAAAAAAAAAAAATCCTAAAACAACTTATAAAAAGAACACCAAAGCTGCAAAATATGAAGAAGCCAATTAAGTTAAAACTTAATTTTTACAACGAAGTATGGAATAAAATTTTTTTTATATAGACTATTAATAAATAACTAAAATAAATTTTATAAATATAAATTACAATGAAAAAAGTTATATAGTTAAACAATTTATAGTATCATGTTTTCTTTATTAAAATATTACATACAACATATCATATGATTTTTTCAATGTAAACTTAAAACTAAAATGAATCTACATTAACAAATTTTAAAGTATCATTATAATACGAAAGAAGCCTTTACCAAAGACGTACACGTCTCTCTCTCTCTCACTTGTCACTTCTTTTGAAGATCAATAGCTCAATTCTTCGATACGATCAAGAATCAGGTGATTTTCTCTGATCTTGGACTTGTCAAAATTGCTGATTTTCTTTGGTCAAATTCCTTCCTACTCGTTTCCTTTAATCCATCTTTGTGGGGTGAGAAGTTACGGGAATTGTTGCGCTGGTTTCTCCAAGAGCAGAGGAAACGAAGTGCGTTTGAGCAATGTGGTAAGACAAAAGCCAAGATGGACGAGTTATCAAATATTGTTGGTTTAAGCGAGCTGAAGACACAACTGAGGAAATGGGCTAAAGGAATGCTTTTAGATGAGAGGCGAAGGGCATTGGAACTCGAACAACTCCACATATGGCATTTCTTGGAAATCCTGGAACAGGTGAGAAGAAAAGATTTGTATTTATGGTTCTCTGTCTTTCAATCAAACCAATACATGACGATTTAAGTATATCCAAATAACAGGTAAAACCATGGTCCATGGTAGCTCGGGAAATTGCTTAACACAGTTGGAATTCTACCAACCGATAAAGTAACACAAGTACAGCGTACAGACTTGGTTGGTGAGTTTGTTGGCCATACAGGACCAAAGACCAGGAGAAAGGTGAAAGCACTGTTCATAATATTCTAATTTCACTTGTGGGTTTGAATTTGTAGTGTGTGGTGTGAATCATATAATTCTTGACCAGTGACCACCAAGAAATGCAGTAAATTTTAGCCAAAAACAAAAAAAAACTGAAATACATTGTTTTGTAATTCTAAAGGGAGATTGAAAACATGTTTATCTGAAGTGAAGAAGAAAAGGAAAAGCATGTTATTCAAAGCATGTGGAAGATGAAGATCTCTCTCTACTTCAGTAGTAGCTCTTCTTGCCTGGAATCTCTTGGACCTGGCCATCTAACAAAGAGGAGCAGAAACAAGATCAAACTTAACTAAATTCCCCTGGGAAATATAATTGAATTCAGATTGCAAGCGAAAAATCAGTCACCTTGGAGATAGGTGGCGCTGTTTGCATGGCTATCAGCTTCAGAGTTGTATTCCTGCAGACCATATATAGTTTGGAAATTAGACAAGCGGTTTCAAAACATGAAAGGATCTGTGAAATAATACCCTGGGAACATGGGTGATATCGAATGACTTGAATTGGTTCTTAAGCTCGTTCGTCTGCTTCCACTGCTCTGCCATTCTCGGGTGTCTGACTTGCCATTCACCCCGCGTCTGTTTCAAGATAGCTATCACAAGGTCTTCGAGAGAGTAAACAGAAGATAGATAGTTGTAAGGCAACTGACCTGCTTAACGACAAGCTCAGAGTCCCCATAGGCCTTCACGTGTGTATACCCTTTTTCGCGAGCAGCCTCCAAACCACGGTTCAGACCTCGATATTCCGCCTGGTTGCTTGTTGCAGTGCCTAATCCTTCACGGTAGGAGGCGATGACACTTCCATCTGAATCACGCAGAACAGCTCCTGAACCAGCTCTTCCTGGGTTTCCTTTCGAAGCTCCATCAAACTCAATGATGCAATGCTTCAGAAAACAGTTATATTAGAATGTACAAAATCATTAAAACTGGACTAATCTAACCTCTTTATCAGGCATGTAAAGGAATAAGTTAAGGCTTCTCCTAAGAAGAAAAAATATACTTTAGCGTTTTTTTCAATAGGGTTTCACCAAAGAACAAATCCCTCATTCTTCAGATCTCTGCTAGAGATCTCGGGATCTCCAGATTCTATTTCGATCTTTGAGCTTCATAATCGACTATTTTTAATAACTATTTATTATTAAAGTAAACAAGATGGCAAAGAAACGATTAAACAAAGAAAAGCTAGAGTACCATGTTTAATCATAATCGAGAAAATCAAGCAAAGAAAATGATTAAACAGATAAGGGAAAGAGAGTGGAGGAGTTCTCGGCTTTACCTTGTCCATGTCTCGAGTCGTCTCCGTCACTGCGCTGCGAGATTAAGAGCAAGATGGGATATCACAATTGTACAACTTTGCATATATAGTACAAGTTTCTAGGTTTACAGCCCTCAAAGAATATTCTTTGAGGGGTAAATATACTTTTTTGAGCTTTTGAGTTTTTTGGGCTAATTTTTTTGAGTCATTAGTTCAGCCCATTAATAATAATATATGTCTTTATTAACTATTTTTTGCGTGTGCTATTTTAGGGCATCCTCAATAGGGGATCATCTTTGGGTGTTCTTAGAGTAAAAATATGGTTAAAAAAATGTAAGATCAGTAGTTAAGATTTTTTGTTAAAAAGTTGATTAGACACTTGTTGCCGTGAAATTGAAGATTTCGGAGGAGGAAGAAGAAGAGAAATGGGGCTTTTTTTCCTATGCCAAATTTGAACCCAATCAGAATTAGACACCTGTCTCTAAGATCGTTTCAAGAACAGATCTGGCCGAGGATCTGTTTCTCAACTGTTCTCTCCTCTTTTTATTATTTTGTAATTTTTTTATTCTAAGACCATGCTTATAGTTCTCCTATTGTGGATGGCCTAAGGATCTTCAAAGAGAGATTTCGTGAAGTAGTCGCTGACGTGGCAGATTGTGGGAGAATTTCATTTTGCTGATGTGGCTAGGCTGAGAAGCCTCAATGAACACCTTTTATTAGTAAGAGATAATAATTGGGAAGCAATAATATTTAAATAATACATTTGTTTTTAATAACATATTAAAGTCTTAGTTATTAATACATCAAATAAAACAGCAAAAAAATAATAGAGCTGGACTTCGGGACTTTCTTCATTTTCCGGCTTTATGTTTCTCCGATGTTTATTATAAAACAATAGACAATTGTGTTGATAATTAAGTTTTCATTTTATAAATTAGTCGAGCAGAATGGGCCGGCCCATTTTAGTCCAGAGATAAAAATTAATTAAAAATATTTGTGGGTTCTCTACAAAAGAACCACTCGAAGAATTAAAATTGGGAAAAAAACCGTCATCTATTATTATTTTGGTCGTTTAATACATGTAGGTTTCGATCAATGGCTCATACCATATAATCTTGTGAATTTGACTATGATTATTGATTGAAGAGAGTTACATAAATACAGAGAGAGTAGATTGAAGATATTTGTACAGTTATTGAGAATGATATGGAGGAGTCAATCAAATCTTCCTTTACACATATAGATAACTCTAATATCTTCTCCCTCAACAACGATCCGCCGCGTCTTTTCACCAGATTGAGAGCCGGATCGACTTCTTCGGCGCCATCGACTGGGTGCGGCGGAGATAGGAAAGGGAAGCTGGCGACGAAAAAAAAATGGAAAAATAAAATTAAAAAAAGTGACGATGGTGGGTTTCGATCCCGGGTTAAGATGGGGAACTCAACCTGCTTAAGGCCACCAGGCGAAGACAATTATTTCGTATGTGTTAGTAAACAATAGTATATATCTATTTAAATATGTGGAGTTAACTTTTACCTGCGATTAGAGATTCCGTTACCCGGTTGTTAACTCGTGGGTAAGATTCTACCAACTTTTATAACACGAATATTCTTAAAGACAAAATTTAATAATCGAAGTATTTTTATTCCAAGTTTAAAACTACATGTATTAAACGGCCAAAATAATAATAGATGGTGGTTTTTTCGGGTTTTTTCCGATTAAAATTCAAACAACACCACTGAGATATTTTATGGGAAAAAACCCGAAAAAATCCTGGTTTATTTTTTATTTGGACGTTTAATACCCAAATTTTTTTGGTTGGAAGAAAAAACACATACGGTTTTAAAAACACATACCCAAATTAAAATTTACGATTTAATACCTATAAAAATAAAATGTTGTTATTTTCATACATACGGTTTTATAACAAAAATAAAATTCTAATTTTACCCTTACAATTAGAATATATCATTAATTTTAAATGACGTGGCAATAATTTTTAATTTTATTTGAATAAAAAATAATTTCTATTTATATTTCGTTTTATTAAAATTATTTTATTTATAATTGGTTTTTTCGGGTTTTTTCCCCTTTAATTGGTTCTTCAGAATCATTTCAGCAATTTTTTTAATTTGTCGCACATTTCAGCATTTTTTTGGCGCCTTTAGAATAACCTTTTCTTATTTTATTTTTTCTTAAATCATCCGAAAAATTATCCTTTAACTTAAAATAATTTTCGAATGAAATAAAGATCAACCACTCCGACTCAGTGGTTCCGATCATGGCCGATGATGAGTCACGTACCATCCTGTTGGAGAAGAACGAAGATTGCCCTGGTTGTATCATTGATCGAACTAAGCAAGATCAACGAGGCGTCCCTTACTTCCACCTCTCCTTCATCTGGCTCGTCTCACTCTGCACCGGTTAACAATTTCTCATACTTCCTTTCTCTCTCTTAGGAATTTCTACAAACACTTGGTGTGCAAGTAATTCGGATTCGAATTATGTACTTTTGTTTGTTTCTCTGATGCTGATGTTTCAAAGCTTTTGGTGAATTTCAGCTCTCCCAATATCTTCACTGTTTCCGTATCTTTATTTCATGGTAAGCTTAGTTGTTGTTGCTTCTAACTCCATTAGTTAGCTTGGTTTGAGTTCAACATGACCAGTAATGTACATATGTGTTGTGGCAGATCAGAGACTTTCATATTGCAAAACAAGAAGAAGATATTGGTTTCTATGCTGGTTTTGTTGGTAATGTTATTTGTCTTAGGCTATTTGTTATTTCTTGAACACCAATCTTGATCTTTCTTTTACTTTCTCAGCATCATCATTCATGATTGGAAGAGCTTTGACATCTATTTTCTGGGGGAAATTAGCTGATCGATATGGTCGCAAACCTATTATCCTAATTGGGACATTCTCAGTGTTAGCTTTTAAGATTTTCTCTACTTTATTCATCAGAGTAAAGATGTATTCATTTTTTTTGTCTGCAGATTTCTAATCAGTAGGTTTGTGACTCTTTTCAGGATCATATTCAATACCCTCTTTGGTCTAAGTACAAGTTTCTGGCTTGCAATTTCCGTTAGATTTTTTCTCGGCTGCTTCAATTGTCTACTTGGAGTTATAAGGGTACGTGAAAGAATATGCCACTATGTCTTTGTATTAAGTGACTGCTCTAGATAAGAAAATGATCACAAGTGTTAGGTTTCTTCTGTTAGTTGGGTTGCATTTCCTAAATGTGTTTTCTTTGCTGTTTTACAATGTTTCAGGCATATGCTTCCGAAGTCGTTAGTGAAGAGTATAATGCTCTTAGTCTTTCTGTTGTGAGGCTTTTGTCTACTTTTTATTTTATTTCGTCGTTATTGCCAATGTTTACTTCATCTTGAGGAGAAATAGTTCCATTGCATTTTTTTCAGGTGAGTACATCGAGAGGTATAGGATTGATACTAGGTCCTGCTATTGGAGGCTATCTTGCTCAGGTACGCATGACTCTAGTATCTGATCTAGTAGCTTATATACCTTTCCTGCTAGGCTTGACTTGGCTTCTGTTTCATGTTCTGTTAGCCTGCAGAAAAGTACCCAAATATATTTTCCCAGAGTTCAGTTTTTGGGAGGTAGTTTATTACTATTTTGCTCCATCCATTTTCAAATGCTAGCAAAAATAGTTTCCTCATTAGGTGCTTTGATGTTGTGTGTTACAGGTTTCCATATTTTCTGCCGAGCTTAGTTATATCAGTCTATGCTACTGGGGTTCTCATCGCCTGCTGGTGGCTTCCTGTGAGTATGTTAACAGATGATAGTGTACTTGTCATGACCTGTTCAAAAACCTTAATCATAATTTTCATGAACAAATTTTATTATATGGTATATTGTTTTGCAATACTTATGATCATAAAATGAGTTCTTATGAATTCCAGAGCTGTTGTGTATGACTTGATCATATTATGATTTGAATGAAGCTAAGACTGCAAATATTAACTCACCAATATAAGCTTCTAATCTATATAAATATATACAGGAAACACTTCATACCCGTTGTAGAATTGCACAAGGGAGACTTAATCCAACTGAGCTAAACGATGATGAAAGCAGAGGAGGAGGACTTGATGACCAGAAAATAATTAGTAAGCCAAGTCTCTTGAGAAATCGTCCATTGATGGCTATCATCATCGTGTATTGTGTCTTTTCCCTCCAAGAGATAGCTTACTCTGAGGTAAGAGAGTTACAATTCACTTGCGTACAATCATGGGAGTATCTTCAATTGTAGCTTTTAGATTGATTCTATGATAGAGGATATGATATTTTGGGTGCTGCCTAGTGTCAGTAAATTTTTAAAATCTTGCTTAGGAAATTTTGCTTATGTATTTGTCCTTTTTCCGTAACTTTGCAAGATATTCTCACTCTGGGCTGTTAGTGACCGAAGCTATGGAGGATTGAGCTTCTCATCTCAAGATGTTGGTGAAGTTTTAGCTATATCAGGTGGATGTTCTATTTACCTTACATTGTCTGGTGGGTTGGTCCAGAAAACTGTGTCTGCTTATTTGGAATTTCTCTGTGAAGCTGTGAAGCGAGCTCACTCCTTAACAAGTCGTTGTAAAAATTATCTATTTATCCTCTTTAGGGTTCACATTTTCATGGTTCGTACTGATTTGCTTATTGTTTTTGCATACAGTTCTTCAACTCTGTTTGTTTAGTTTGTTGCTATATTGTCTATCCATCTCTACATTGGATGTTTATCATGATTTGTTACCATGCTTTCAGGACTTGGGCTTCTGGTGTTTCAACTTTTGGTATACCCGCCTTTGGAGAAGACCGTGGGACTACTTGCGGTTATACGTCTTTCTGCGGTAAATCTTATATGTCTTTTTTATTTCGAACGATGCTCTCTGTTTTGACATTGTAGTAATGGGTTGTCCAATAATCCCATTCTGTTCATTTCCTTACATTTTCTTGTTCAGGTATTGCTGATACCTCTGCTTTCGTGTTACCCCTATATAGCTTTGCTTTCTGGGGTGACCCTTCATGTAGTGATAAATTGTGCATCCATCTTAAAAAACGCTTTGTCTGTGAGTTCTTGCTATAACCCTGAGGCTTTTTTTGTACATCATATCTCCTCATTTGAAAATAAGCAAGATTTGAAATAGGTTTTCGTGGTATGTGCAGATCTCTCTTGTCACAGGACTGTTTATCATGTTGAACAAGGCTGTGGTATGGTTCTTGGGCTGGTGTATCTCTATCTTTTACATCGTAACTTCCTCTGCCAGGGCTCATACTGACTTTTCTTCAATATGACATTGCAGCCTCAGAATCAGAGAGGTGCTGCTAATGGCATTTCTATGACCGCAATGTCTGTTTTCAAATCATTTGGCCCTGCCGGTGGAGGGGTCTTGTAAGTATTTTCAAATCCTGGAAATTTCAATATCTTATGTAACCTTATAGCGGAAAATGCACTCACATTCTTGCAAATACTATTAACAAGTACAAGATATATACAAGCTTCAAATTTGTTATTCTTGAACTGTTATTCTCTATTGCTAATTCACCTTTCTCCATGTTTGGTTAACTCTACAGATTCTCATGGGCACAAAAGAGACAAGACGCGACTTTCCTTCCAGGTCAAATTTTGGCACCCAAGTCCATGTTATATCGAAAATTTCCCCCGAAAGACGGTTTTTTTTTTATGTTCTTATTCCTTTTTGAAAACTATACACAGGTGATGAGATGGTGTTCTTGGTGTTGAACTTGGTACAGCTCGTAGGATTGATTCTAACGTTCATACCTTACATTTCCCAAATCGAGTAGTAGGTAAAATCCATTACTCTTTCTTCATAGAGTGAGGAATAAATGGGAAAATCCATTACGAATTATTGTTGAATCTGTGATTCGGCACCAAAAGAATGACTAATAATAATGTAACTAATTTTCATATGTTGTAATAATGTAACTAATGTTCATATGTTAATAATGACAAATTATTGTGTTTCTCTATGATTCGGCACCAAAAGAATGACTAATAATGTAACTAATTACGGTAATAAGTATCATTTACTAATTGTTCACTCAAAGTCGAAGTGTTAAAACATATAAATCATTTTGTAGGTAACGGGTCAATACATTCAATTCAAGCCAATAATTGTTGTTGTCTCAGTTTTGAGAAGATGAGTCACAAAAAGCAACTGCATTATTTTTTCTTAGAAAAGCTGATAAAATAAAGTTTGCACGAGAAAAAGGAGACGGCGACCAAAAGCAAAAACAAAAAAAAACAATATCATAATACTAGAAGATAGAAAATGTAAGGATTTAGATAATAAAGAAGAACTTTGACTAGTTTGGGATGACAAAAAAAAATAAAAAAAAATTTGACAACTAAATGAATAAGGTCCATAGAAGCTAGTTCTTTTTTGTACATTATAATGTATTTGGTCTTATTTATGTCTTCATTCAATTAACTCGTAGTTGCTACAAGTATCAAAATTAAATAACTCTTTTTTTTTTCTCTCAATATTTGAGCTAATCCTAACAATAATTACTTAACTTGTTTCAGTTCTTGATTATAATTATATTTTTTTTTTAATACCAGGAAGTTTTGGACAAAATTCCGTAATTTCCGAGGCCCGAAACTACGTCATGTAATATTAGTTTCGTTCCAAGCACTCGAACCGGCGTTTCATGTTTCAGTAGCATATGTATTAATTTTAAACATTTCATTTGGGTAGAAAAGTGGTCACGACTCACGAGGAGAACACGGACCACATGCACCATGTTGGTCGAAGTAAATGCAAGAGTGGGCACGACTTACCACTGTGGCTCGAACCACATGCACCAAAAACATAACTGCAAGGGACTACGAGAAGTCTAATTAACTACTATTATACAAGTAAAGCATAGAGAAAATAATTTGTTTATTTTTTATTTGGAGTCATTTAAAAGTTTATCACCTCAGACAAAAATTAATAAATAGTAGGTTGGCAGCACTAACATATCTTCTACATATTAAAAGAGAGTTTATTTTGCTGATGTAGCAAATTTTCAATTATTCTCACTTTTTTTTTTTTTAATTCTAGTATCACATTTGCCAAACACATCTTGTTTTTAATATTTTTACTCGCTTACTCTTTTTAAATCACAAACCAAACACACCTCATTTTATTCCAATATCTAGAATTTTCAAATTTAGTTTTTTTACAATTTCTCTATTGTTACCATATATGGTATTTGGAAATTCCTATATTTCTAATTAATGCTTTGATTTTTTAAAAATTCTCTTTAAATTTAAATATAAAACATCGTCTAAATATTTAAATAGAGTCATTTGGATATATAATAAATAAAACTATTTATAAAATTAAATAGCATAAAATTTATGAACTATAAAATTAAATATTATAAATAAAAGTATTTATAAAATTAAATAGCATATTATTTACCTAATATATTGTTTAAAAGATACTCTTATATACAGTCAAACACAAAAATGATCTACGTAAAAAATAATTAATTTGGAAGTTTTGTTTTTTGTTGTTATTATAGCAGAGTACGTGCTTGTTGAGCAAACCAAGAACCCTAAAAACATGTAATTTATGTTACAAAGGGCCAAGATCAATTTTTTTTTTTGAAATTTATGATAAATTAATCATTATGATAAACAGTAATTGAAAAAAACATTGTTTGATTTAGCAGTTCAACGTTGTAGAATTTCACTTGCAATACTGTTTATCAACAAGACAACAACATATATGCGTTTTCTTTAAAATATTGCTTTTTTTCTTTCATATACTGCCGATTATAAGTGGACAAGTCACTTACTGTTAAAAACAGAAAAGAAACGAGAGAACCACTTGCAAATCATGACGTATCAAACGAAGTTATCTGTAATCTATTGTATTAAATTATTAATATGATAAAAAGAATATCTTGTAGTTTTAATTTTTAACTATCACAGTATGACGTTAAAGAGTGGTATATTTGGTGAACCAAGTTTGTCTCTTGCCTGGAGAGACTTTACTTCCCATCACCAAAATATTATTATATAATCATTATTGAGTTTTTCAATTCCTGAAATTATTAAAGAGATTAAGACAAGAATCAATTACACATTTTTCGTTGTGCCATTTGTTAATTTTATCCTTTTTGAATAGTTTATGGATTTTTAGACAACAAAAATATAATTTAACATGCGTTTTACCCACTATGTTTGAGTTTAGTCGGTTCTATTTGTTCTTAATGTTTAGTATTTAGTATAAAGAACGATTTTTTGGAAAAAAAGTTCGTAATTACTTAGATTTTAAAGTGTTAAGAATTGGCATTTCCATAAGATTTTAATAAAAATGGTATTTTCGTAAAATATTTTTTTTTAAATGGCATTTTAGACAAAAATCCCTTAAGGCAATCTCTATATGATTTTTTTCCTTTTTTTCTGTCAACTGCCCCTATAAGTTAAGCCATCAAAGGGCTTGATCTCCACCAAGTACACTTCACCAAAAGAAAAGTCATTGAAAACCCAAAAAAAAGGTGAAAAATAAAAAAGGTCAAACAAAAAAAATGTCAGAAGAAGAAGTGGTGGTGTTGAACTTCTGGCCAAGCATGTTCGGAGCAAGAGTGATCATGGCGTTAGAGGAGAAAGAGATCAAGTTCGAGTATAAGGAAGAAGATGTGTTTGGTCAGAAGACCGATCTATTGCTCCAAAGCAACCCGGTTCACAAGAAGATCCCGGTTCTCATCCACAACGGTAAACCGGTATGCGAGTCCAATATTATTGTCGAATATATCGATGAGGTCTGGAAAGACGATAAGACTCTCCGTCTACTACCTTCTGATCCATATGAGAAGTCACAGTGTAGATTTTGGGCTGATTTGATTGACAAAAAGGTACTACTATACTTTCTGAATTATTTAGGTGCTAATACACTTTTTTTTTTAATTATTTGAGTAGTAGTACTACATGGTCATCTAATTACTAGATTTATGAGTGGTTGAAACAAGTATCGTCCAAAAATTTAACGTTTTGGCCAAAATTAAACTATGAGAATAACACAAGAGATATACAAAAGATGAGGAATTTTTAGCGAAGTCTAATTTCTTTGTTGGTAGTAAATTTAACATGGGGGAATAGCATAAGAAATTTTCTGTTAACATTATTTTTTTTGGTTTGTGTAACTTCTTCTTGATACTTAAAAATAACAAATACGATCTACTATATACTTCATAATATTAAATGTTATGCTGTTTATATAAAAAGTTCAACGAAAGGAGACTAAAAGTTCAATGTCTTTGTGATTAAATATATATAAATAAATAAAAACAGGTTTTTGACGCTGGAAGAAGAACATGGACAAAGAGGGGCAAAGAACAAGAAGAAGCGAAACAAGAGTTCATAGAGATCTTGAAAGTGTTAGAAAGAGAGCTTGGAGATAAGGTCTACTTCGGAGGAAACGACAACGTGTCGATGGTGGACTTGGTCCTCATCTCCTATTACCCTTGGTTCCACACATGGGAGACAATTGGTGGTTTTAGCGTCGAGGATCACACTCCCAAGCTAATGGACTGGATCCGTAAATGCTTAACCCGACCCGCTATCTCGAAATCTTTACCTGACCCGCTAAAGATTTTTGATCGAGTCACTCAGATCATAAAAGTCCATGAGTTCTTCTATGGTTATTGATTCTCCAAATCGTACGCTCTATTTATGTAAGTTCAAAATAATAAGAAAATTTGTAATGCTTATGGGAAGTGGTTGCCGTGAAAATTTATGTTTCCTTTGATATTTTAATTGAAAATAAAATGTGTTTGCATGTTGTTCTTGATACAACTTCCCGACCAGACATTAGAACTATTTAGTTTAAGTTATTTTTATAATTTTGTATATATTAACTTGGTAGCTTAATTTGTTCTTTCATGAGACTAAACTAAATGGTTTGAATCCAAGTACATAATCATTAGTACCAATCTTTTCTTAAGTACATAATCATTAGTACCAATCTTTTCTTTGTGCACATTATGTAGCCTATATATAAGGTTAATCCCTGGATATATACAAGTTCTCTACTATTAGCTTTCTCCCTTCTTCCTCTTAGTTATTTCTTGATCGGAGAGGACAGTGAGCTATAGAATTGAGCAAGAATGAGAGCGGTGGCAGAGGAGATTCAAACGGCTAGGAACGCGATGCGACTCGGGCTTTGCGGGTTTAGGCTGGATCATTTCTTTCTCATTCCATTTTGCATTTTTGGTCTTCTTCTTTTTCTTTTTCTTCTTCTTTTTCTTCCTCTTCTTTAGCATTTTACTTGCGCATTCCCAAACATGACTGAGAACAAGAAACAATTATTAAAAAAAAAAGAGTTGTTGGTTTCTTCTTTTCTTTGGGTTTAGAGATGAGATGAATTGGACAATGCCATTTTTGTTCTGTTTCTTTAGTTCGTCGCCAAAAAAAGAATAATAATTCAACCCTATTATACTTCCATTTTATGGAGGACTTTTGACTATATGAAGTGATTTTGCAGAAAAAGAGTCTTAATTATTATTACTAAAAAAAAGTATGATTGTATAGAATAATTTCCTAAGAAAATAAAACTTAGGGTACTATCTATTAGTATAGTTGATACAAATACTAGAGCTGTGAGTTAGATGTGAAAATTATAGTAATCTTCATAAATATATCTTTGCTCTAATAATGACTAACTTGTATAATAATATTTGCATGAAATAAGAGAAAATTAGGAAAAAAATAAATTAAAATTATATAAACATAAAACCTACAAATATTAATATAGAAGAAAACTAAAGAATTGGAGAAATGTTTATATCTATAAGTAAAATAAATATATTAAATTAAAATTAAAACAAATGATAGAAAATAAACTATTCTATAGTTGTATCATAAATCCACATATCAAATTCAAATTAGAGAAAATGTTATAGTAAGAAAAATGTCTATACGTGGATAAATTAGTTTTAAACAAAAAAAATTAGGGGAGGCTAATGAAAGCCCACAACCTTTTTAAAAGCCTTACCAACCATACCATTGGGCCTTTAGTGGGCGATTGATATAGACCCCGAAAACAAAACAAAAAACGAAAAAAGACATTGTTAAAAGTTAAAACGAAAAAATGTGTTTAGCTGGAAAAAAAAGGTATTTTTATTTGGAAAAGTCAAAATTATTTTCCTCTTTCTCTGTTGAGTGGTAATTTACTTGAAGTGGTTTTTTGGGGAAAATCACATATATTTTCATTAAATTTTCATTAGACCTTTTCATCATTCAAGAACTTCTACTGCAAAGACGCTAATTTTAAACAATTACAGTTCACGTTTGCAACTTGTAAGCTTTTTTTTTTTTCACTATAATTCCAATATCCAAATAGAGGCAATTAGTCATCTCAATGAACACGAAATATAAAAGAAAAGAGAGAATAATAATATCAAATGGTCAAGAGACTTAAAGCAAACTTTGAGTTCAAACTTCACGGACATAACAAAACCAAAGATGAATGAAGAAGCAATCAAATAAAGAAGAAGCAACATTACCAAAAAATTACGACCAACAAAACAAACAACGAAGCAAATCTCTCTGTTTCTTTTGGTTCAATAAATTACTTTTCTCAGTTTAAAGACGAAAATAAATAAACAGACTTAAGGTTTTCGAGGGATAAGAAGATTCTCACTTTGCCATCATGACTTTGACGAACTCTTCATAGTTGATCTGACCATCACCGTCGACATCAGCCTCTCGGATCATCTCATCGACTTCCTCATCCGTCAGCTTCTCCCCAAGATTTGTCATCACGTGACGAAGCTCAGCTGCCGAGATGAAACCGTTCTGGTCCTTGTCAAAAACCCTGAAGGCTTCCTTAAGCTCCTCCTCTGAATCAGTGTCTTTCATCTTCCGTGCCATTAGGTTCAGGAACTCCGGGAAATCTATTGTCCCGTTCCCATCTGCATCTACTTCGTTGATCATGTCCTGAAGCTCAGCTTCTGTTGGGTTCTGCCCAAGTGATCTCATCACAGTCCCAAGCTCCTTTGTAGTGATGCAACCTGCAACCAAACCAAAATTGGACACAACTTCAGATTTTATAATGCAAGATTGTCAACAAGATCAGAAAGATGAAGAAACCAAATATCTTAACACAAGTAATATGTCAAGTTTTCAAATAAAAGCACAACTCAAAATGCTCTTTGTAAGAAACTCTTACACTACTAACCCCAATCATAGTATATTTCAGTTAAAAGGACGAAGATACGACAAGTAAAACTGATTCTTCGGGAAACCTCTACCAAGTTAACAAAGAAACTTCTTGCATACAATCCACCAAGAAACAATCAAAGCCTCTTTCTAATAAAAGGCCAGGGGATGCACAATGTTCTAAATATGATGGAATTGCCAATAAGCATCACAAGATGCACCCCATGCTAAGAAATTCGCAAGTTCTCGACCGATACAAAGCAGAACAACAGAGATGATATTATCAACTTCTTTCTCTATTTTCCATTTGGCAACATCACACAATAAACGAAATTTCGTTTTTAGATTTTGGGTTGAAACATCTGCAGATCTATCTACATTTTGTTAAAACGTACTTATACAAATCCGCATGATTAAATCACAGGATTGGTCCAGAATCAAAGCAAATCACAGAGAAACAACAAGAAAAATGATCTTCACTGTTCCATTGTACGATTTAAACTGATAATTGCAATTATACAAGGATCTAATAATGATTAACCTAATTAAACTAGTTTCCATAACTACAAATCTTAGTAATCATCAACATATATACTAAAGGAGATTCTACATATTCTATAGAAGCCAAATCAACCCTAAACACTATCGAGATATGAGCAAGAAAATACTGAACGAATCAAAACGAGATCATTCTTCAATCACATGAAACAACAAACGAAATGTGCAGAAAATCACGATCTCTCAAAAAAAAAAACGAGAAGAGAAAGAGATCTGAGAGCAGGGAAGAAGAAGAGACCATCGCCGTCTTTGTCGAAGAGGCTGAAAGCTTCCTTGAACTCGGAGATCTGGTCATCGGTAAGCTGATCCGCCATTTTTTTTTCTTCGGATTTTCTGTGAATTTTTCTTGTTTCTGAGAAAGTTGAAGCGCGTGAGAGTGAATGTTCTTCTTTATAAAATGAGATCTCCCAAGCTACAGGTAGATATATTTCAATTGACGATTTTGCCCTCCAAAACGTCTTTTTAATTTCTAGTTTTGGTTTGATTGACCAAAAAATAAAGAAATTCTAGTTTTGTGAGAAATTTGTTTTTTTTTTTTTAGTTTTGCAACTTAATTTTACTAATTTAGGCTATTCTACTAACTACTTGTGTCCATACCATGGACTTTCTAATTTTGATAATCGTAAAGCCGAAATCGATTTTTCATTTTGATATGATTTTTAATATCTTTGTATGCTTATACATTAATGTAACCAAATATTACATATTTTATATGCATATAATCTTTTGAAATTTTATTGTCCAAACATTGGTCTACACAATTTGATAAAATTCGTTCTCTATTTTCTAAGTTTTGTATCACATTTCAAATTATAACAAAAGAAAGGAAATAGTTGGACAAGAAATATTAGTAAACCATTGAATGTCCAAATCAACGCAATCATGGCCATACTTAATTATCTTGCTCGCATTAAGATTGGTGTTTTGAGGTGCATATCTCAATCCTATATGATTATTTATTTTGTTCGAGAGAGAATACAGATTTATGTTTTTTTTGTTGTTGCTAATTCTATATCATGCAATTAGCTTAGCAAAATCCATGATTACGGTTGAAAAGTTCTTCATGACTAGAGTTAGATAGCTCGTACAACATTACCCATCTTTTATCCATTTTATTGCTATTATGTATTTATGTCAGATCATACTACTATTAAGTCTAATTTAAAATTTTAGAAAATTACAATTTTGCCAATAATCATTTGAGGTGGTAGAGAAGTGACTATTTCCAATGCAATGCCACCAATTGTGCATGCAGGGAAGCTCTATGCATAAGAGAAAAATGTCATTTTATCGGTTCATCAACTCATCTTGCGAAACTTAACCAACTAAGATGGTGGAAGATTTAAAGTCGTGCAAGATGAAGACTTATAGTGATTCTATCTTATGATAAATTGAAATCCATAATGTCTTATTTGTGTTTTGATGGACTTTGTTCTACATAATAATATAGCATGTATACGAACTTGGTGTAATTATAGAAGAGAGTAGTTCTAATTGCAATTGTGTTTTGTTTTACCGGATGGAAGACTTTGCATCTACGATAATTGATCATTAAACCTAGTGATTTATATGTTCAACGACAGCTAGCGTTAACCTATATCGATTAATAAGACTAAGTGGGTTTATATCGCAGTGGAATTAATGTTATTACCTTAACTAGATTACACATTTTTTTTATATGTATAAATTCTCCTAAATTTAAACATTTTGGATTTCCAATAACAAAGATTTATTTGCAAGTATATTCTTAACAAGATAAATATTAATTAGATGATTATACAACCTCTTTCTTGCATATACCTAAATAATTCCATGTATTTTCTTGCAAATACAATTGCAAAATAACTAGATTTTTAACTGGGTGATTTGCATGTTAAGGGACTTTTGATGAAAGTTCTTACACTTTAGACACTTTAAAAACATGAGGCACTTTGCCTTGTTTTTGGAATAAAAATAGACAATTTTGCCCCTCATTTAACTAAAGCTATGTTACACACTTTCTCTCTTCTCTCGTTCCATTAGAAATATTAGTTAGAAACAAATGCCTAGATGTGAAACAATATTAGCTCTGCTTTCTCCCCTTCCATGAAAATTCCCAGATCTTAGAGATATAATCTTCTCATAAAATATTTTGATCGGTAGCCGCCGTCACTGAGGCAATGACATATTTGCTTTTGATTAAGTAGAAACTGGGAATTATAACGGCGGTGATAAGTTAGGGAGTTTTGTCACTGGCGTAGGCTACGGCGCAGGTAGGTTGGCTCGCCGGACCGGGTGATTTAATACAGATTGTATTGGTCTGAACTAAGATCACGAGGGATGTTTCAATTGGGGAAGAAGGAAAATCGAATCGTTGTTTATAACAAGAAATTTATTGATAAGTGGTTTGGGAGGTAAGAGCATCTTTAACCAAATTTGATTCTCTCTGGAATTGGATTTTTACTTGCTTTATCTGGTTTTTAAGATTGAATGTTCAATCCCAAGTTATGATCAAGTTGAGAAATTACTTGAAGAACTTTTAATTAAGTAGCTGACTCAATCCCAATTTTTTAGTTTCATCACTGAAAACTTGGCTCCAAGTTTTCGCCTGTTCGCTTTCATCGTGCAAGATTATCGGAACCTAGCATGTACTTGATTTCTTTAGAGAATTGTCAGGGATGGTCTTGGAAGAAGACAAGAGAGTGTTGTTATAAGAAACTGATGCCATTGCTTTAATCTTGCAAAAGTTTATCTCTTTTGATGTCAAACTCAGTGAAGAATCGATCTTGAATCCATATTGAGAGATTGTGGAAGAAGGAGAAGCAAATGAAAACGATTGATTGGTGAAACGTAGCCGTAGCCATTCTGGAGAAAAAGATAACAAAATTTGTGGTAACGAAAATGTTAAATTCTATAATTAGCAAATTAGTTTTCGTAATTTTCGTGATATGAATGTTGTGAATTGACAATGAAATTTGATTTGTTAAGATGCATCTGGTTTTCCAGTTAAAATTCTAATACCCTTTTCTAGGGACACCTTGAATTCCTTGTTTGATTTCTTGCCCATAGGTACGCACCAATCCCCACCTCTTTAACCATATGATTTTTGTCCATTTTGTGGCTGTTCACATATTACGTCAAACCGGACATGACTTTGTGGCCAACTATTCTTTGGTGTTACTAAGCATATTAGCACTGTAATACACAAAATTTCTAATTGATAATCTGTTTCCTTAGTTTGAATGTTAAATGTTTATCTCGGTTTTTGATACACGAGCCCTTGACTGTTCTTGCAACTACCACGCCAAATCGATGTTGGTGAAGAAGACAAGTATGTGAAGAACCTAGCATGAGAGCTTTACATTTGCAGTTTTTGAAGATATGTTGTGAATTGCAAAAAATTTCTTGCTCAATATTACAACTATGTATCCGCTCTCTTCTGGGAGGATCTGGGGCTCTCAAGCAACCTGAGAAGATATTTTGACTGAACCATGTTGTGGCTACGATGTTGTCGCTGCGAAGCGGTGGCTACTGAACGGTGGCTGAAAAGCGGTGGCTATAGAACAGTGGCTGTAAAGCGGTGAAAAACTATGTTGATCTTATCTTGTATAAATATTGAGCTTTGTGATGTGCGAAGACTTTTATCGAGTTGGGCTCCAATGTGTTCATCGTACTGGTAAAAATTGATTGAATCCCAAGTTAGGATCGAGTTTAGAAATAGCTTGAAGAACTTGTCATTAAGTAGATGATTCAATCCCAAGTTTTGATCTATTTCGTAACCATAAAAAAATTGATAATTTTACCAAGCGATAAAACTCATTCGCATCAAATCAAATACATAGATGTCCATTGATGAGTGTCCAAACAATCAAGTTCAAATGGTCATCTAGTAACTCACATAGTCTTTTCATACAAATACACAAATTTATACATGAACGATAATCGTCAATACACAAGTTTGTTTGTACATAATTAAGAAGCAAAAATACTGAATTTACCATTTGATTGATTTTTCAAAGGGTAAGTGAAACTTTAAACCCTAAACCATAAATCTAAAACCAAAATTATTAAATTTAAATGGACACCCTACCCCATACCTACTAAACAAAACCGATATTTAACTTTTTTTAAATATATAACACTAAACCCTATCCCCTACCTATTAAATCCAAACCGATATCTAACTTCGCAAACAATATAAAGCTAAAACGAGATAAAAGTTTGGTTTAAAGGTTTAACACTAAACCCTACCTCTACCTACTAAACCCAAACCGGTATTTTACTTATTTTAAATATATTACACTAAATCCTATCCCCTACCAACAACACCCAAACCGGTATCTAATTTCGTTAACAATATAAACCTAAAACGAGATAAAACTTTGGTTTAAAGGTTTAACACTAAACCCTACCTCTACATATTAAACCCAAACCGATATTTAACTTCTTTTACATATAAATATAACACTAAACCCTACCGCTATCTACTAAACCCAAACCGATATTTAACTTTTACATATATAACACTAAACCCTACCGCTATCTACTAAACCCAAACCGATATTTAACTTCTTTTAAATATATAACACTAAACCCTACCCCCTACATAATAAACCCAAACCGATATTTAACTTCTTTCAAATATATCACACTAAACCCTATCCCCTACCTACTAAACCCAAACCGATATTTAACTTCTTTCAAATATATTACACTAAACCCTATCTCCTACCTACTAAACCCAAACCGATAAACCCTACCCTTTACCTACTAAACCCAAACCAATATCTAACACTTTACAAGTAGCCATCCACATAGTTAGAGTTGTATGGATCAATTACAATTTTCTATTTACGTAATCATGTCCTAAATTGTTTATGGATGTCGTTGGATGCAGCAGACCATTAACTGTTGTCCATATGGATAAACCACTTTGTAAAAATACATACGACAAGTTATATGAAACCAGAGTTAAGACAAAACATGTTAAAGCTTGATTAATCAACCTGCAAAGTTTTTGCAAAAAAGCTCAATTAACTTGAATGCTAGATCAATATGTTCTAAAAGAAACCAAAACATGACGGTTTCTAAACCCTTTAAATAAATATTTAAAACGCATATTTTAACTTTAAATTTATGATCGTCGTCCACGAAGTTCCGTCCATCCGATTATTATAGCACATTTAGTCATTTAAACATTTAGAAATTCTTTAAAAACTACACACTAAAAGTTAATTTTACTAAAAATTTGATTTAAACCCAAACCCTAAAAATTCAACACCAAGTTTTGATCTATATCGTAACCATAAAAAAATTGATAATTTTACCAAGCGATAAAACTCAGTCGCATCAAATCAAATACATAGATGTCCATTGATGAGTGTCCA